GAAAGAAATTGGGCTAATTGATATCAATTGGCTCGAATAATACTCTTGGCTAAATAACAATTAATTTTCCTTTTTTTATTCTCTTTTCTTTCGGTCATCTTTTTACTTTTCAAATCCTCCAAACCAATCAAATCAAACTTATTCACTAGTTTTCTAGATAGTTTATGATTTCTATCTTTCATCCGATTACTTATTTTCTCATGCTTTCTAGCCAATTCTAATTTCTTTTCTTGGTAATTTTTACTGCCTTGCTTTTTTTGGCTTAACTCTCTTTGAAGTTTAATTAATTGTTCCTCTCCTTTTTGGAAATACCTAGGATTGTAATATTTTCAACCTTCACTAGTGGCAAACAATTTTTTAACTCTTCGGTCTATTCCTATTTTTCGGTTGGTTTTAATGGCGAGTTTTGGTTCTACTCAACAACCAAAAGAAACTAATCACTTATTATTTTTAGGAAAATATTCTTGTCTATTTTTTCAAGCAATAGTTAAGGTCTTAATAACTCCTTGAATAGGTTGGTTTAGTTTGAGTTTAGTGGTTAACTTCCTTTGGCTTTTCTCTATTGCTGAACCTAACTTAATGAACAACTTATTATTTTCAATTCCAAAACTCCCATTATTTTGGGTATAACTAAAACTGTCATATCACCGATTATCAGTTTTTAATCTAGGATATTTGGCTTTGAGATTGATGGTTTTGTGTTCTTTATATTTTTTCCAAGCATCCCAAACTCGAACTCTAACAACTTGCTTTAAGATTTGAGAGTAGATTTGGTTTAACCAAGGATTATTTGCTTTTAACTGAACTAATTCTTTTTCTTGTTGTTCTTTGGTTGGTTGTTTCTGTTTTTGTTTATCACACTCTATTCTTTGGCTTAAAAAATGATTGTAGACAAAATTACATCCTTTCGAGATAAGATTTAGTTGTTGTTTAGTAGTTTGGTTAGGCTCGATATAACCTTGAATAGTTTTAGTTAGATATTTCATGCTAAAAACATCTTATATAACTTGTTTTTTAGCAATTCATCCCACCACTTACAGAAGTGGGGGTGTTCTTGCTAAGATTTTGGTAAAAATAAAATCTATATATATATGTATATATATATGACAATGGACAAAGCACAAGCACGAAGAATATTAGGAGTGAGCGAAAATGCTACTCCGGAAGAAATTAAGAAGGCTTATCGGAAATTAGCCTTACAACACCATCCCGATAAAGGAGGTGATGCGGAAAAATTTAAGGAGATTGCTAATGCTTATGAAGTTTTAACTAATCAAAGTTCACGAAGTAATAATCATAGTAGCAGTAGTAATGATGAAGCGGATGCTGATACGAAAGTATGAGCCAAACAAGAAATACTTAACAAGTTGAAAGAAATTTATATAACCTTTACTGAGTTAGAGAATATGGCAGTAAAAATCCGCAGTCAAATTCCTGATTTTTATGAGGCCGTGAAAAATGCCAAGGATTATTCTAATAAGATAAATGGCATGGCTACTAAAACGGAAATAATAGAATTTGTGGCTAAGGTTAGGGTTTTCTTAGATTGTGCGGCCAAGGCTTATCGGGAATGAAAAAAAGAGCAAGAACAACAACAAACTCCTCCACCTTCTCCTACGGGTGATTTTTCTAGCAATCTTTATGGTGATTTTGTTTGCTCTCACTGCGGAAAGTCTGTTACTAACACTTTTATTCATAAGCATAGTGATGGAGCAAAATGCTGCTCGGCGGATTGTATAGCCAATTATATTCTAGATAAAATCACCAAAGATAATGATAGTAGCAGCAATTCTTCTTCTTTTAATTTCAACTTTAATAATCCTCCGCCTACTACTAATAACTTTTCTACTCCGCCGCCTTCTTCTAATTCTGATAATTCCAGTTCGGATGAGGATGATTTTTCTCCTAAAAATGACGATTGAAAAAAATCCTTTGAAGATTTAAAAAAACAATGAGAGGAAGAGGAACAGGAAATTAGAGAAGAGGCTAATCTTATTAGCGAAAGGCTAAAAACTGAAATAAAGATTGTGCGAGAATTAGGCAACGAAGGAGTATCTGACAGTGAATTAGAAAATAAATTAGAGCAAGTGGGTCGCCGCCGAAGTTGAAAAAGTGATATTTTAGAGGCCGACAGTCTAAGTAAGTTAAAAAATATTGAAAATGATTTACTAAGCAAAATTTCCGAAATAAGTGCGTGAAAAAAACAAAATCCGGGGCAAACTTATCAAGGCAGGTCGGAGTCGGAGAGTTTTGAGAGGCCAGGATTGCTTAAAGAGAAAAAAAATTGAATAATTGGCGGAGTGATTATAGTAATAATAATATTAGTGATAGGTCTAATGAGAGGAAAAAGAGTAGCACGGAAAAAAAATAAAGGTGCATAATCCTATCACAGGATAGAAATATAAGATTAGTAGGGAGAATTATTAAAAATTAACGATACTTTTAGAAAGCAACCAAGAAGCAAAACAACCGAGAAACAACACGGAGAATGAGGAACCAGAGAAAGAGAGAGGCAATAAAAAGTTTTTCCATTCTTAACAGAGAAGGAACCAATAAACCTCAACCAATTCCATTCTTATAAAATCTTATAGAAAAATAGAGTAAAAGTAGAGAGACAGAGAGACCGACCAGCCAAAGCGGAACGGAACAGAGCCGAATTGGAGAGAATGGGAGCCGCAGCGTCGTCAGACGCGTAGGCGTATTAGTTAGAGTAGTAAGGGCAGGGGATACGATATTCTTATATAGATATATAAGAAAGAGAAAAAAATGAATAAAAAAAGAGAAAGAAAGAAAATGAACGGAACATTGCTAACCATACTTTTATTAGTGATTTTTAATACGATATTTAATGTTTGTATTCTCTATTATCTAATGAATATCTATTGTGAAAGATGTAAAGAAAAGATGGAATGGAAACGATTTTTAAAACTTAAAACCTTATGCGAAACCTGCGAAGAGAAAGAATGAATTAAATTATAAAACTATGGCAACCTTAAACTTAAACATTGAATATTTAATCTATTCACGCAAAGAACATTTAAAGGATTTTGATTGTTATGGTTGTAAAGTATCATTTAACGACCAAGACTTAAATGATAATAACTTTATTCTTGGTGTGAGTGATTACAGTAATGAAATTATTAAAGAAGGGGGCAACCCGTTAGACCAGAGGCCCGTTTGTTATAAAGTTGTAATGCGATTAAAAGGAGCCGAACATAAAAAATGCCCGAAGGTTGAAAGGTGTGAGGAGTGTTTTGGTAGATATAGAACCGAGGAAATGCGACAGAGTGCCAAAGATAAAAGTTGGTATTGTCTAAAAACTTGTTGGGCGGACCATTCAGAATTAAGACGAGATGCCGTGCCAAGGAATAAAAGGAAAGAAAGTAAATAATATGGAAAACAAAAAGAATAAAGACCTAATTGATGAAACCTTTAACAATATGACAGGGAAATTTGTTGAGATATTAAATGAGGCCATTGCCAAGGAACAAGTTAAAACCGAGTATTGGAAAAGAAAGGCGTGAATATTGGCGAATAAACGCGGACTATGTTTTAAACACGATAAACAAGAGACCGCAGAAAACTTTAATGACACAGGAGCGACATTTGACGATTATATAAAAGAAGCCGTTGAGTGTTGTGATTGTAATTATAAAACCTTGGAGGGAATAAAAGAGTATTCGCGTTAATGCGACAAATTGCTTACGCTGATACTCACTTAACGGCATTCACAAAAGGTATCATGCCTTGGAAAACAAACAATCACTTAAATAAGTAATTAGTTAGGTTCATCGCGTATCTATGAGTATCAATAAATATTCCGTTGCCTGGGAAGTCAATCGCCACGGCCATCTGATACGCTTTGCGGTCGTGTAGATACATCTGGTCTTTATCGTTCAATTGGGTAATAATCACACCCCCAAACATACTATCAAAATAAACAAATCCTAAATGCTGGGTTGGGGAATAAATACGGGTAATTAAGGTCGCATGTATCTCGGGACGGGCCACAAAAATTAAATCCTTCATGCTATAAGAACAAATTAACTCTTGGGCTTTGTTGAAGTCCTTGGAATAGTCCAACATTTTATATGCTTGAACTAGAACACTATGCCATAATAATTCTCCATTATCCGCCTTGCTGGTGGCGTCTACTCCTGGCTTATAAAATGCTTCGGGGTTGGTTAAGATGGCTCCTTTGTTGTCGGCTTGGTTATTGTAATTGTCATTATCCGCCATGTCCGCCTTTCATTGTTTCGTATAGTCATATTTCATCCTATTTACAATATTAGACATCTTAACGCCCAACAACGCATTTAATTCACTTGGTCGCTTGAATGCTAACGCTCCCAAATCCTCACTAAACTTATCCCCATAGTTTCCGTATTCTCTTAATGTTAATGCGTGGCTTAACATTTTGCCTTTGGTGAAGTCCTTATAATCCAAATTATCCGACCATTTAACGGGGTCATTTCATAAGGTCGTATAATAACGGGCTTCGCCTCCCTCAATTCTAATTTCGGGGTTGTAATAAAAACGCCATACTGGGCTTTCATTTTCTAAAACGCTGAATATTTTAGCGTTTAATATTCGGTTGTCTATCGTATTATAGAATAAGTTTTTGTCTACCATATTTTTAAGTTAAGTTTCATTAGTTAATTTTCCTAATTCACTTTAACCTAATTTCGCTTTATGGTGATTATATTATTATTTTTACTCAATTCGCTTTTTTTTTTAGTTTTTTTTAAAAAGGGCGTAGTAAAGCGAATTAGGAACTTCAAACTACGCCCATATTATAACAACTTTTAAATGTAAAAGAGATTTTGCTGTTTCAAATGCTTTCCTTCCTCGGCTCTTTTGTCAAGGTAATCATAAATGCCTTTGACAATTATGCCTTCCTCGGTGTTATGCCTTCGCTCAACGGCTTCTTTATAATCACTTTCTTTATCGCTTCAATATTTTTCTTTGGTAATCTCAATCTCATCATCTTTTTTAGACAACGCACCTTTTAAATTACTTATCTCTTTATTGAGTTTAATTAGTCCTAACTGATATTCTTTGTCTTTGCTTTGTAATTGGCCTTGTAATTTCTCCCGTTCGTTCTTTTCCTCTAAATATAACTGATACGGGGTTTTTTCCTCGGGTTTTTTTTCCTCGGGTTTATTATTTACTGAACCTTGGTCTTGTTTTGTTTCGTCATTCATAGTATATAAAAAAGTTTTAGTAATGTGTTTAGTTAATTTAATTTTTCTAATAGACGGCTATTAGTAAAATGTTTTTTAATGTTTTCTTTGAATATAAGTTTTTCCTCGGCATTGGCTTTTTGGTAAAGGTCAACAATTCTATCCTCTAACGCTCCAATAAACTTATTCGCAATCTCTATCATAGCAGGTATGGCATCTTTAACCATTCCTCGTAATGCTCCAATTATGAAGTTTAACGCAGTATTTTTTAAGAACTCTAAAACTTTCTCTTGCCAAAATCCCGCTACCACAAAATCGGCTTCCTCTTTATGAGGTTCAACAATCATCTTTAACGCGTATTGCTCCCCTTCGGCTAGGTCTTGGTTTATTTTCTCAACTCGCTCGCTAGTAATGGCTTTTTTAACTTTTTCGCCTTTTGGCAACTCTTTATTAAATGCTCCGTCTTTATATTCTTTAAAGGTTTCCGTGTCTTTATCTAAATCGGCTTTGGCTTTTACTACTTTCGCACGGGCATATAACGTCTCGGCGTGTATCTGTAATAATGTCCCTACGCTGGCAATTTCGTTTAAAGATGCGTGGGATGGGTCTAATTCCATTCCGCTAATATCCAAATCTTTTACGAAGTCTTTTAGCAAATCCCAACTAATTCCTTTTTTTGGCTCCATATTCATAATTTTATTTTATTCCTCCT